CCCTTGAACTTCCTACTGAATATATATATATATATATATATATATATAAATTCTGGCAGTTAACTACTTTACTTCAACTAGCTGCTGCGGTGAATGTACATCACAAAAAAGAACACACACGTCAGTACAAGTTTGAAATGGCATGAAGTTGAGTTTGTGGCTACTTTTTTGGGTATCAATCTATCGGGAGACCGATAGTCTCTTGAGTATGTGTAGCGTGGAATGTTAACGAAAATATGGAGCCATTTCAGCAGTCGTCAGCGTGTATCATAGCCAGGGGCAGTAGACCTCACGCAGCAAATTGGCCAGAAGGTAAGACATTCTAGTCGTAATGACAGAAAACATCACGGGTAGCCTTCTTTCTACGAATTCTGCTGATTTAATCTGGAATACTTTGTAAAAATTCCACACATGCTAATATATTCTTCTAATACAGCATTTCTCTTGATGAATTCTCTCGTATAAAACTATAAAAAAAACGCTTGTGCTCACAGTACACTTAACCATTTGCACGCTTAAGTTTCCTGTCTGTGTCTAATTATTAAGACCCTATAATAAGGGTGTTTCACAAACCAAAATACACTTGTCATAGGTGGTACTATTTGTCAAAATACCCTTATTGTAAGGTGTTGGCTAACAGACACGAAAAGCCCCCTTAAGGATGAAAATTTGTTTACTGTGAATCTACGGCCTATCTGCAAGACATTCAGTGCTCGCATGGACTCTAAAGGCCATACTCTTTTTGGGCTGTTAAAAACACTATCAGGACAATTGTGCCTGAGGAAACATATTAGGTGTCCTCACGCATTCAGCGAATTATGATAAAGTAGCATCCCGAGTACGATGGCCGAAGCATAAGAAGCAAACAGGACTAGCGCTGACTTTCAACTTGTATTAGAAAAGAATCAATGAATCATTTGTGAAGTCTAGATATTTATCGCTCTTTTCTTAATAAAACATTACAGTTGAGACTTGGCAGTAGTCCTGTTTGCATCTTCCGTTTCTCCCATCGTCGCTTCGCGTGCTGCCCTTTACGCATGATAATTATGTACAACTCGCTCTAATTACCATTCGATTTAAGTAATGTACACCTCCCAATTACGAATGTACATGCACCGTACGTGTAGATGTTTTCGGGAGTCTGTAGAGCAGCGTCTTCAGCACGGCTAAAGCTTATCACAAAACAAAAATAATATTGTCACCATTTGATCCTGTATTATCGCACTTACTCATTCAAGTATTTTGTTTGCCACTCTAAGTGAACTGGAAGTGCTTGGCAATGATCTACCATAATCCACGGATGAGCACCACCGAAGTGACGTACTGCGCGTGTTCCTGCGCTACAAATTGAAGTCCGAATGTCATCATTGTACAACAACAATAATAATATAATATTGCTGTTATTAAAAAAACATTATTCTTCATTACCAACTTCTCAAGACAGAAGCACATATATCAGGCCTGCCAAAGCCACATATGACTTTAGCCTAATGGTAGGAAAGCCAAAGACAAGTAACGTGTCAGCAAATGGGAACAAATACGAAATTGATCAAACATTTGCCGTCAGCTTCACACAAGGTACACTTCATTAGTAAACAGGACACAAATAGTGCCTGATGAACTAATCTTGTGTGGCGTCTTTTTTTAGATTCAGAGGAACTCTTGCTCATGACTGTGTCCCGTAGCGTCAGCGTTCGCGCTCCCATTACGCATGCGCAACTTCTTTCCTCTCCCACGCTTGCCCCTCTCGCCTTGCAACGCTGACACGGGCAGCGTCTGCCAGTGTAGCGTGCTCGGACGTGCTAGACGAGGAAGTTGTCTGTGTGAGGTCTCGCCGTTCCTGGGTAGATTAGAAATGCTACTCACCTGTGGCACATACCCTCATACCAGTGGCGCTTATCTTCCCGCGTGTACGTGCCACTGTATGGCGGAAACTGTTTAACGACTTACGCGCAGGAATTGTGACATTATTTGTCTCATGACCAGCGAGTCGCATTCGCCAGACCATGTTAGTTTCACCTACTATTTTTGGCTGACCACAAGTTAAGCGGGTGATCACAAAAGCCACTTGACGTAGGCGGCTAGATATATAGATGCGTTGCTGGACGCCAAAAGTGATTGCAGTACGCAAACAATTTAACACCTTTATTATTCTTTTTAAATGCGAAGAATTTATTTCGAACTTCGGAGACTTTGAGCGTATCTATCTATCTATCTATCTATCTATCTATCTATCTATCTATCTATCTATCTATCTATCTATCTATCTATCTATCTATCTATCTATCTATCTATCTATCTATCTATCTATCTATCTATCTATCTATCTATCTATCTATCTAGCCGCTTACGTTTGGGAGCTCTCGTTGTCACCCAATTTACTTGGCGTGAAGCAAAATAAGCAAGAGAGAATATTATGATGCGACGAATACGATGTGCTTGAAAAGGCATGAATAATGTCACAATAACATCGCGTACGTCGTCAAACAATTCCCGCTAGATAGCGGCACATAAACCCACGGGCGGGTATGTGCTACTGGTATGCGAATTTGTACCACAGATGATTGACACTTGGTATCTGCTCAGGAACGACGAGATTACACATGGGCAATTTTAACACGCGAGTGTTCATACCCGACGTTGGTGGCGTCAACGCGACGAGTCCCAGCTAAAATCGAACCCAAGCCTTCTAGATGCCAATGAGCCATATTATCACAGAGCTATGTCAGGTCTCGGAATCACTTTTAAAATAGACGATAATCTTCATGAAACGTTAATAGTGGTTTTCATTGCTCCCTACTCAACCTTATAAACATTACATGTGTACTATTTCGATACAGCTTTCCCGTCGGGTTAACGACAAATGTGGTTAGTTGCCATGCACTGAAGTTAATTTATGTAGCAGTGTCAAGGGCAAGCATCTTCGCTGGCATCAGCACCTCATATCAGCTTCTGGTGTTTCTAATACGCATGTTCCATTTGGGAATGATGGGCAAATGCAAACAACTGGTTGTATAAATATCTGACACTCTTCTACGTATATCTGTGTGCCCGACATTTGTAGATATTCTAGCGTCATTTGAAGACGTGTCACTCAATAAAAAAATTGAAACATGGTCACCTTTCTTCCGCATGCTTCGTATAACGTGGATTCCCCGGTATGTGGGACTGTCGAATTTTTTATCCTAAAAATCTGGCCCTTAGGCACAATAAATGAGGGGGTATAAAAGAAACGCGGTTCACGTTTCCGTCATAGGAACCAGAATAACGCAAAAGTGACAAGTTTATTCACAAAGAAGTCGAATGTTTGTAGTGCATGCACTGTATCGCAAGGAGGGCGAATGTATGAATGCTAAATCAGGAAATTGTAATTGTTACGTAAAGAAAGGTAAGCAGATCTAAACTTGCTCTGCGCTGCTGAAGCAAAAAATAAACACATGAATAGAACATCCACAGGACAAGAGCCTTCCTCCTTCCTTCCTACCTCCCACCCTTTTCTACTCGACACTCAAAGCAGCTGCTCAAACACAAAAGAAGAAGCACGAAACCAATGCACAAGTATGCACAGGATGAGAGTGAACTAACAACTGTCACAGTTGATATTTGTGTAAAAGTTTTCACAGCGCCCTACTTTCGCAAACGCGGCCGCTGCACTAAGTGAACTTTGTGCCTCTTGTAACTTCAACGCAAACTTGCCGTAAAAGCAGATTACGTACTAACCATTCCCAACACGAGATGATTGGGTGCGTACTTCTTCACGCATGTGGCGACGACGGCCTCTAGAGCGCGCCCTTCGCGCCTTCTCAGTAATAATAACGAGAACATGCTGAAGTGCTCCGATCTCACTGCACCTCCAACGGTAAATGATATATCGTCTATAGTAGGGAGACAAGTGCACGGCCAGTGGCACAGGTCATGAAAAAAAGTGCACACGCTGTCTTTTTCTAAAGCATGCTTAACCAACACGTTTTCTCAAGAGCCCTGCTGCTCTACGACCAATGAACCTCACCATAGACGTCTGAGATGACGCGACGATACACATAGCTTTCCGATGGTGCGCTGAAGAACGTGCGCTTCATGGCCGAGTAGTTTCGCCTCAGGCACTGGGGATTTAAGTGTAGTAAGTTCAACTTCATGCGGCTGAAGTTCATCTTAGAGTTTTTTTCTTTGTCATCTCTTAGCGGTAGCTTTCAAAGGTAATACCGGGGCAGGAAATACGCAAGTGGAAGTGTGTTGACCACCGGCATAAAACTCTTTTGCGGTAAAATACACATGCAATTTTGCTTTGTGTGTATTGCTTAAAACCACTTTTAGAATGCGCAATACTGCATGCGCAGCGATCGAAACCACAAACTAAAAACCTCGCCTGATTCCAGGTGTTTCGTTACCATGCCTGTGCAAAACCTGCTAGGGTGTAAAATGTTGTATAATTGTGCAAAACATAAATAAACCGAGATGTTTCAAGCGCCTCGTATGGCCCGGTCATACGGCACACTGTAATCGAGGAGTCTGGGTTAACCTCGACGACGATCAGCGGTTTTTTGTAAGTACACGTAAGAGTAAAGTGCGTGAGCATTTCTTGCTGTTCAGACTCGTTCAACTGCTTCACCAAAGTTGGCAAAGAAAACTGACCACGTTGTTTTTAGATACGTAACATAGCAATAAAAGCTGGCGTGGCAGCTGCTGCACAAAAATGAGGCTTTGCAGAGCGTGTTTCTGTAGCAGATGCGTCGTAGGCGCGGTAATTGTACGCCGTAGAAACGGCGTGCCCTTCCGAGAGCATGGAGGTCCATCTCGAGTGCACAAAACATTTATAACGTATTAAAAAAATCAAATTTCATCCAGCTTATTCCTGCACATTTTATTAGCAAATTCCTACCATTCAGGCATGCATATTCTGTGCAATTGTTATCGAAGGCTCTTATCACTTTCAACCGAGTGCAAGTGCATATGTGCGTATAAATTCGAAGAAAAGAGTGCGTTCTGTGCGTTTCGTCAGACGCCTTTATAACTCCCAAACCTAAATATATGCAGCGTCACAAAAAACGTGGCGCACACACGCACGAAGTATCGGCTCTCAATGTCGATATTTTTATTCTAACTACAACCTTCGCTATCCCAGCTTTGTTAAGCCAAGCCCCGCCTCCAGAAAGGCCTTATGAAAGGGGCCAACCATTCCTTACCTTCCGCGGTACACAACCTTCAGTCGATCGCTCTCTGTGAGATCTTTTCCTTTCGAGGAAAACAACTGTGCTTCATTGCGATGTTTAAGTTCGCTCTACAACTGCTGCTCTGCACGGCAGTCATTAACGCACCACCTCCGGACTTCCTCACTGACTGTGTGTCGAGTTCGGAACACGTAACTGCGGCGCACACATGCATCCTGGTACCGCAGACTGATATAGGCACGTATGGTAGGTCCTACAAATTGCTGGCCGAGTCCGTACTGCAGGAACCCTCCAATCAGCGGAACCCTAAATTTCTCAACACGGTCTACAACGTCACACGGGCCGCAGTCAAGGTGAGCGTACTGTTTTTCATTTTGTAGCTTTTCATCCAGAGAGCTAAGCCGGCCCCACTGTGGTGGTCTAGGGGCTAAGGTACTCGGCTGCTGACCCGCAGGTCGCGGGCTCGAATCCCGGCTGCGGTGGCTGCAATTTCGATGGAGGCGGAAATGTTGTAGGCCCGTGTGCAAACATTTGGGTGCGCGTTAAAGAACCCCAGGTGGTCGAAATTTCCGGAGGCCTCCACTACGGTGTCTCTCATAATCATGTGGTGGGTTCGGGACGTTAAACCCTACATATCAATCAATCAAATAGGGTGTAAGCTGGCTTTCCAATGATTCCTGGCTACGCAACGTACATGATGTCCCAATTACATGGCTCAGGCGTTGTGCTGTTGTGCTGGACGGTGTGCGTCAAACTCAGCCCAACGAGTAACATTTTACTGTATATCGGAAGAAACAAGTTTTCAGTTGCGGGAACATGGTGTGCCAAAATAAATTTGAACAAACCAACTTCCTTCAAAGAACGCGGACAAAGCCAGTTTATTTGCCGAATGCCAACCCGTTATTCAACAAGGAAGTTTTAGCAGAATATGTAAATGAAGAATGTCTTTACGTTATCTAGGTTATAGATTTTACGTCCCAAAGCGTGAATATGGTGAAGGACGCCCTTTAAGGGAGGGCTCTAGGAACTTTGATTACCTCCTGTTTCTTAAAGTTCACTTTCCCTTAAGTATGCGGCACTTTAGATGCGCGCATGTAGGGCAATGTGGCCGCTAAGGCCGACATTCGATCCGCTGACCTTAGGCTCAACTCGACCACCGTATCCGTGCACCCTGCCGCCATAGCGGGTTGATTTGCTAGCTTCGTTAAAACTAAACTAGTAGTAGACCGACCAAACTTTTCCCTAATCGATACCTTTATTCTGCCAACTGCAATCACAGCTTTTAGTTTCTTTAACTTTTATTATTTCTCCTAAATATATTATATATTTGCATAAGTGAGACTTCTAATACGCTAGTTTCTGCGTGTCCATCTGCGCTAAAATTATTGACTCTAAGCAACGTTTTACCCGTGGCACTGATAAAAAATATTCTTTGCTAAAATTCAAGGTTCCAACCTCGACATCTCATCAGATGCCTCCTATTTCAGTTCTTTCGTTTTTTCTGTTATCCAGCTGTCCTCTCCCGACAATTCAAGCGTGTTTTCGGTGCATACTTCTGCATAGTGGCTCACTGAAACGAGACTTTTTTTCTTAAACCCCGCCCAGTTATTCCCTTTCTGCTTTACATGCCACGCCCAGGTCGATCACTGTCTCATTTTTGGTATGAAATCTTGTCACTGTGTTCATCATCATCATCAGCCTGACTACGTCCACTGCAGGACAAAGGCCTCTCCCATGTTCCGCCAGTTAACCCGGTCCTGTGCTTGCTGCTGCCAATTTATACCCGCAAACTTCTTAATCTCGTCTGCCCACCTAACCTTCTGTCTCTCCCTAACCCGCTTACCTTCTCTGGGAATCCAGTTAGTTACCCTTAATGACCAGCGGTTATCCTGTCTACGCGCTACATGCCCGGCCCATGTCCATTTTCTCTTCTTTATTTCAACTACGATATCCTTAACCCCCGTTTGTCCCCTAATCCACTCTGCTCTCTTCTTGTCTCTTAAGGTTACACCTACCATTTTTCTTTCCATTGCTCGCTGCGTCGTCCTGAATTTAAGCTGAAGCCTCTTTGTAAGTCTCCAGGTTTCTGCTCCGTAGCTAAGTACCGGCAAGATACAGCTGTTATATACCTTCTTCTTGAGGGATAGTGGCAATCTACCTGTCATAATTTGAACGTGCTTGCCGAATGTGCTCCACCCCATTCTTATTCTTCTAGTTACTTCAATCTCGTGGTTAGGCTCTGCGGTTATTACCTGCCTTAAGTAGACATAGTCTTTTACAATTTCAAGTGCACTATTACCTATCTCGAAGCGCCTGCTCCTTTCCGAGGTTGTTGTACATTACTTTCGTTTTCTGCAGAATAATTTTAAGACCCACCTTTCTTCTCTCCTTATCTAACTCCGTAATCATGAGTTGCAATTCGTCCCCTGAGTTACTCAGCAATGCAATGTCATCGGCGAAGCGCAGGTTACTAAAGCATTCTCCATTAACTCTTATCCCTAACTGTTCCCATTCTAGGCTTCTGAAAACCTCCTGTAAGCCCGCGGTAAATGGCGTTGGGGAGACTGTGTCCCCCTGCCTTACACCCTTCTTGATTGGTATTCTGTTGCTTTCTTTATGAAGCACTATGGTAGCAGTTGATCCCCTGTAGATTTCTTCCAGAATGTTTATATATACTTCATCTACGCCCTGATTCCACAGTGTCTGCATGACGACTGATATTTCTACTGAATCAAATGCCTTCTCGTAATCGATGAAGGCAATGTATAGTGGTTGGTTATACTCTGAGCATTTCTCTATTACCTGATTGATAGTATGAATGTGGTCAATTGTTGAGTAGCCTGTTCGAAATCCTGCTCGTTCCTTTGGTTGATTGAATTCTAATGTTTTCTTTACTCTGTTGGCAATTACCTTTGTAAATAGCTTGTATACTACAGAGAGCAAGCTGATCGGCCTGTAATTCTTCAAGTCCTTGTCATCTCCTTTCTTATGTATTAAGATGATGTTAGCGTTCTTCCAACACTCTGGTACCCTTCCCGTCAGGAGACACCTCGTAAACAGGGTGGCTAGTTTTTCTAACACAATCTGTCTTCCATCTTTTAGCAGATCTGATGTTACCTGATCCTCACCAGCAGCTTTGCCTCTTTGCATGCTCTCCAAAGCTTTTCTGACTTCTTCTATCATTACTGGTGGGGTGTCATCTGGGTTACTGCTAGTTCTTATAGTATTAAGGTCATGGTTGTCTCGGCTACTGTACAGATCTCTGTAAAACTCCTCCGCAATTTTAACTATCCTATCCATATTGGTAGTTATTTTACCTTCTTTGTCCCTTAGTGCATACATCCGACTTTTGCCTATCCCAAGTTTCCTCTTCACTGCTTTGACGCTTCCTCCGTTTTTCAGAGCGTGTTCAATTCTCTCCATGTTATACCTTCTTACATCGCATACTTTACGTCTATTAATCAACTTCGAAAGCTCTGCCAGTTCTATTTTGTCTGTTGTACTTGACACTTTCATGCTTTGACGCTTCTTAATTAGGTTCTTCGTTTCCTGGGAAAGCTTGCCAGTGTCCTGTCTGACTACCCTGCCTTTAACTTCCACTGCACACTTCGTAATGATACTCGTCAGATTATCATTCATTGTATCTACGCTAAGAATGGTTTCCTCACTAAGAACCGAGTACCTGTTCTGCAGCGACACTCTGAATTCCTGTACTTTCCCTCTCAGTGCTAGCTCATTGATTGGCTTCTTGCGTATCAGTTTCTGTCGTTCCTTCTTCAAGTCGAGGCGAATTCGAGACCACACCATTCTATGGTCACTGCATCGTACCTTGCCAACCACTTCCACATCCTGGACGATTCCTGGGTGTGCAGTCATTATAAAGTCTATTTCGTTCCTATTTTCGCCATTAGGGCTCCTCCATGTCCACTTGCGGTTTTCTCGTTTTCGGTAGAAAGTATTCAAAATCCGCAAATTATCGCGTTCTGCAAATTCTACTAGTAGCTCTCCTCTGGCGTTTCTAGTGCCGATGCCATAATCTCCTACTGCCTGGTCTCCAGCCTGCTTCTTTCCTACCTTTGCATTGAAGTCGCCCATCACTATAGTATACTGTGTTTTTACCTTACTCATTGCTGATTCCACGTCTTCATAGAAGCTTTCAACTGAAGCGTCATCATGGCTGGATGTAGGCGCGTAAGCCTGTACTTCCTTCATCGTGTATCTTTTATTCAGTTTAATACAATACCTACCGCCATTTCATTATTGCTATAATATTCCTCTATGTTGCCAGCTATGTTTCTCTTAATTAGGAACCCCACTCCCAGTTCTCTTCTGTCTGTCAAGCCTCGATAGCAAAGGACGTGCCCATTCTGTAGTACAGTATAGGCCTCATCTGTCCTCCTAACCTCACTGAGCCCTATTATATCCCATTTAAAACCCTCTAGCTCCTCGAATAGTACAGCTAGACTTCCCTCACTAGATAAGATTTTAGCGTTAAACGTTGCCATGTTCAGGTTCCAAAGGCGGCCTGTAGTCAAGAGATTCTTAGCACCCTCGGCTGCGTTGCAGATCTGACCGCCGCCATTGTCAGTTGCTTCGCAGCTGCTGGGAACTGAGGGCCGTGAGGTATTTGACGTATGCATGTGGGAGGTAGTGGCCAGATACTGCACCAGGGTGGCCAATCCTTCTCTGGTGAGGGAGTGTGTTCCCGACGGTGGTTAGCGGTGAGGCCGCACCCCAGGCCTCTTAATGCAGTTCCATTAACACGCGGATTTTTTTTTTCTGGTTGGGAACTGCGCGGCACCTGAACCGGCACTGTGTTACTATAATTTAATTGGAACCTCGGTTTCACGAAGTATAGGCTCGCTTATGTGCTTTCTAGGGGTCCGTAGCATAAGAAGGCGTTCACTAATTCACATTCGAGCACTAAGCCGAGACTCGACTTGCATACTAGTGCGAACTTTACATACATACTAGTGCAAACTTTGAAAAAGACACACTTGCGAAAACAAGTGCGGTGCAACAGAAAAATCCGAACTTCGTGCTTCCCCCCTTCTAGTTTTCTCGCATTTCGTTTACATGTATGCGCTGTTATGTATATTAGAGGAGAATATACAATATTCTGCTGCATGGACATATTTGAAGCATTATTATGTACGCAACAACTCTTGACATTATTCCGTCTGTGAATTTCGCTTGTGGTCGCAGCTACAAAGTGAGTTTTTTCTCGTTTTGCCTTTATGCTAGCATCGCATTTTTAATCATCACTATCTTCCTACTAATGTCGCGCTGTTTTTTTTCCACGAAGGATCGAGATTATGTGAAGGAAGGACCCAACCTTCTCTTGGAGTTTACTACTAGCCAGAGTGCCTGCCTTCATTCACGTCACTACACCGTTCACATGTGCCCACCCATTGACGACAAGGTGAGAACACCTCTGGAAGCACTAAGCAACAACATGCCATAGTCGGGCACCACACTGTAGAAATGTTCTGATGTAATTCCCATCACCGATGATGCAGCCCGCTCAGCCCATGAAGAAACCCGTGTAGTCCCGATTCCTCTATCAAGGAATGATGCAGCAAGACAACTTTACCTGCTGGCTCGAGATCTCACACGCACGTTCTGGTCATCTACCAGCTTCCAAAGGTGTCAATTTTATGAACTGGATCCTTCGCTAAAGCTAAATCTACCATCACAACTTTCCCGCTCCGATGCGACACTGTTATGCCGCCTTTGGTTGGGTGTTGCATTCACAAAGGTGTACTCCTTTCGCATTGGTATGGCAGACACTCCTACATGCGACTACTGCGGAGATGAAGAAACCATCGAACACGTCCTCTGCAGCTGCGCTTGCTACGACACACAGCGATGCCAGCTACGGATGGTTTTGAATCGACTTGACCCCGGACCATTTTGTGTGCGGAAGATACTAGGACCTTGGGCATCTGCCTCAGTTGCGCAGAAAGCAACTAAAGCACTGCTTCTTTACCTTAAGTCAACAAACCTGAGCGACCGCCTGTGAACTGTGTGTGCTCACCGAGTGTGCTCGTGATTGTGTGTACCTTCTCATCTTTGTGCAACCTCTTTTCTCCCCTTTATCCCTTCCCCAGTGCAGGGTAGCAAACCGGATGTGCGTCTGGTTAACCTCCCTGCCTTTCCTTGTATCTTTATCTCTCTCTCTCTCTCTGATGTAATTCAATTTAACCGCAATGAAATTTAGATACATGAAAGTTTTCATGCAAAAAACAATGCATTTCAGTAACTCAGTGTGACATGGAAGTAACTGAATTTCGGTTGGCCTAGTCGTTATTGTGAAGAAGCTGAACAGGCAGCTGACTTTTAACGTCCAGTGGCAATGAGAGCACTTTTGGTTAGTCATGAATGCGGAAGCATTCTCCTTGACAATGCCGCATGCAGCCGATACTCCACACGAAGCGAAATCCAAGAGCAGCAGTGCCAAGTCAGAGTAATAGCTAAGCCGCTTTGGGCACCCAACGAACCAGCAGAGACATCCACTGTGCATGCGCAGCACCCTCTCACTCATTTTTGTCTCGTCAGCGAAACCTTGAAGTAGGACAGCGTGCACACGAAGTTTTCCAAGCTAAGCATCCGCTCGAAATATTTTTACAGCGAAAGCTGTTATGAAATCACTTTTCGTGTCACGCGCAGTTCATATTGTCCGCCACTGCCGCCGGTGTCCGTAAGCACATCGTGCGAAATAAAAAAACAAAAACCTTGCACCACTGACACAGTGGTGCTTGAACCCGTGTCCGCTGGGTTCCAGCCCAATATTTTATCACTGAGTTACGCCACTGCTTGTAACGTGTTGTCAAACTTTGTTTAGGTAGGCGTGACCTAGCACCAGTGGCACAGAGGGGCTCGAACCTGAGTCCGCTGGGTGCCAGCCCCGTATTCTACCACTAAGCTACACTGGTGCTTGTCACTTGTCAAACTTGCATTAGACAGGCTTAATGTCGAGAAAGCAAACGCGTTAATGCGACATATAAAGCGTTTTAAAACAGCGAAAGAACAACCACTCGTCACACAATGCAACTAGCATAACGAGTGGGCCGTTCAATGCTCCAACTCATTACAAAAGCTTGTTCTTGCTTCCCTATTAACTGTGGCACATACCCACTAGAGCCATCATTCTTCGTCGTCAGCCACTGCATGGACAATTGGCACCAAATTTCTCGCAAGTGCTTAACGGATACCACGCTTCTCGGAAGAATGACGACATACAGCATAGCGAATGCCGGCCTACTAGCAAAAGAAAAGTTTATTATTATAACCCTCGGGTGTACCAAGCAACTGTGCTTGCAGTTGTTACCGAATAAATGTTTTCAAAAAGCTCTGAAAGGCCCCTCTTTTAGCTTTCGATGTGACCGTGTTGCACCTACCGCGCAGCCCTAGCGCTTTTCACCATGGCTTACGATTAAAAAAATGGCCTGTTTAGAGGGTGCCCCTCCCACAAGCAAGGTAGTGCGCCCCGCCCCCCCTCCCGGCAAATATTTCTGGCTACGCACCTGCTCCTGGAGAGCAGGTCTGCTATCTACATTATCTTATCCCTGTACATTGACGAGAATTCTCACCAAGCATGTCTTCACTAAGAAGGTGACGTAAATTTGTATTCAAGCCGTAATTTGCCTTAAGACGAAATGCAGAGTCCTGTCCTCTAGGCAGTGTTCGTTTAGTTTCTTCGGGAAAGCGTCCGGTTGCCGCTGGAAAAGGAGAGGGCTAGGTATTGATAATCTTGAAGGCTACGCCAAAAGAACATCGGACGCTTCTTGAGTCTCTTATGCATGCACCTATGACCACAGGAAGGCCAAAGCAACCTTCATTTTCAGCGCAATGCTCCTGCCGCGACACACTTAGACCGGTTGATGCACCGGATGAGGTTTCGCATCACGTCCAGGATCTGAGGCACCAGATTTCGCTTTCCAGTGCCTTCGAGATGCGCCCACTTTTGACCAGCGTGGTAAAGGCGTGTGATGTCATTGTTGGATGTCAATTTCGATAACTGCAAAATGGCATGTGAAATTTGACAGGGACTGGCGACGTCTTACGGTCCCGTGATCGCGTGGCACGCCGGTCGAATTCCTAGTTTTTGGAGGTATCTCGGACTTTCTGCTCAAAAACACCTAGCAACAGCGGTTGCATATTATTCTGATGGGAATCACGTCTTGCACTGTTTTGAAGATCACATAAAATTAGGCCAGCTATCAATGCTTTTACAGTTGGGTCGTAGGTTGGAACTTACCTGCCATCTATCACACGCAGTGAGATGCCCTTGTATTCATGGCTCTGTTTGCATTTGGGCGATAAGTTTGCGTGATGTTGTGAAGTGGATTAATGGTGGTGCTATAGTGTCAAACCTGGGTAGTGTGCCCCGCGAATATGGGGGCAAGCATCATGTAAACTTCAATATAGGCGTTCCGAATATATTTATATTTCAAGACAGGCTATGCGGCATAATTTCCGAAAACATGGCGACTGGGTTAAAATGGTTACTTCGAACAGCAACAATGTTCACCAAGATAAATCTAGACCTACAGCCAGTCGTGTTCAAATTTTTGTTTGCATAGTGGTTGTAACCCTTGGTCATACTTGAGAGGCAGCGACCATGCTCCTTATAGCATTGCTTTCAGGACTGTGTTAATCTTGATGACTTTCTTGGTGAATTAATAAATTTATGCGTGTTTTACGGCCCAGCTCACCACATTTTGTCACACGCATACACGTATTCTTAGGCAATATTCACACCTGTTCACTCACCTGTACCTTCTTTGGCAGGACAAACTAAATTGAATTCGTGACTTCCAACCAGTAGTATAAAGTTTCACAGCCCTGAAGTGCCCAGCCAGAAGCCCAATGCCCTAACCAATACCAATCCCCTAACAAAACTTTACATCGTCATGCCACATGCTACATCCTTGTAGTGTTTCTTCAAGGCTAAACAAAAGCTTAGCTTATAGCTAAACTACTCTTGCCGCCAAGTTGAACGATGCTTAAAACAAGTGTTTCTATTCGTACGTATTTTAGGGTACATGAAGCGTTACTGAATGCTCACGCCATTTACTATGACTATGTAGGTAACTTCCTTTTCCTACTTCGTTAACCTGGTAAATCTATCTTGAATACTTTTTAGTGACCACTATTACACAAAGTATATTCTAACTACCTTATTGGGCAATAAAAGCGCTGTACAGGCTACCGTTCGTGAAGCACAAGTGTAGTCAGTTTACGCACTTTTTCACTCTGCTCCTCTCATTTCGGGTACATTGCAAGTGCCATAGAAGGTGCTTCTCACCCGCTCTTTACCTATCATGGTTGCCAGTGTATACCAACTTCTCGTCTTTCATTGTTCCAGGTGAACGGGCTATGCCAGGCAGTGTTCCACTACCGTAACAGCATCTTGGACATCGAACGATCTTGGTGCAGGCGCATGGATTAAGTACGTACGACTCTTATGAACGCAGCTCGCACACTGCCGAATGTGGGCTTCAATTTATATTGCTCTTGTTGGTATGTGTCTGGTTGGTCGCACTTAGAAAAAAGCCGCAAGAAAGCTTGGTTCGGTCTTTCTCTCTAAAAAAAAAGATCGCCTCTAAAGTGTGTCATTTTGTCCCATAACAATCATCCAGCTTGCTTGCGCTTCCTTTCTTAAAAACAACGCACTGTCCACTTTCCTGATGTAACACTGATGCCATCTTTGACTGGTCGTTTTGGAGCCCTCTTGTGAAAAAAGCGATAGAAATATTGCGCCTTTTCCTTTCCTTAGACTCTCTCTCAGGAAAGCGCTCTATAGCACTCCGAAGCGACCATTCAAAAATGAATTGATAACGTACATGTCATCCAATGTTGCAAGGACACGAACCGTGCAAAATAGATGGGTATTTTTGAGGGACACAGACTTCTTTCCTACTTGATCTTTTCTTTAAGTGTCATGTTCATGCAACTTAGTGTAAAATGTGGTTTGATGTGGGTGTACGGTAAATATAACTTGGGAATATTAGCACCCCAACGTAGTGTGTCTCGTTATATTATCACCATTTTTTAGGTTAATTTAAACCGGACAATTATCTTTCTTCAGTCCCCATGTTTTCAGTGTTTCTCCGCATGAATTTTTTTCTATTGAAAGATCCGCTCACGTACCTCGTACTGTGCGTTTTCTAGACGAAATCCAATACATCGGATTGTTCCCCGCACACTGCAATTTGTACATATACCTTCTCGGAACACCGGGCTGTACATGTAGCACACCTGTTTTTTTTGTTGTTGTTGTTAACCTCATTTTTGGGGCACCTGTGCCTCGATTCAAGGCACTCGGCCACTGACCCGCATAGCATAGGGTCTTACCTCGGCCACTGCAGGTACACTAGGATGAAAGGGGAATGTTCTAGTCCCCTCTTCTGTGTGAGTCTGAAGATCCCTACAGACCGTTTTCCAGCAGCTGGATTGTCTATGAAAAACTAGATTGCTCCTTCGCACCGAAGAGCCGCGGCCTTCTTCCTCGGCGGCGCTGTCGCAATGTGGCATGTGCTAGGATATTGCCCTGCAGCCTACGGTGAAGCAAGGATGGTGGCAAAAGCAAGAAAGAAAGAAAGTGGCACCTAACTTCTGTCATCCATAAGGGCGACAGGGCATGGTGTCTGAGGGAAAAAACAAACAAAAAATGGCCCTATATCTGCATGTTTCACTGCAAATGTCGTCGAAAGACTATCTTCTTGCGTTTGGAAAGTGAACAAAACATTTGATGTTCTTCGCGAGAAATTCAGTGAATTGTATTCTAGAGGCGCTGCGTAAGAGATTCTCGATCTGTGCAGCAAAGGCGAACGAGCGCAACGAGGCGCGTTAGACACGAGCGCTATCTGGCAGTTATCTGCGAAAATGAAATAAGCGTGTGCGCCGGTCTTGGAGGGGATAAGGTGTAGTAGAACATAAAGTGACGGGCAGGTGCCACCACCTTTAGTCTTCCACCACCACCACTACCTTGTCTTAGCAAAGCATTGAAAACACTTCCCTTTTTGAGCATCGCGTTGCATTATCACCCCCAGCGTGATAAACGCTACATACTTAAAATTACTTATGTATGCCTTCTGTAGAAAAAAGACACATGCAAAATACCGACTTCTTGTTGTGGTGCCACAGATATGCGAAATAATTGAATTTTCATTCACAATCGCACAAGTATGAACGTTGAAACTTGAGCAATATATCGTGGCTGCTGCGCACTGGGGTGGGCCGTTTCGGAATATCGCTTGGAATATCGTTATGGCGGACAAACAGATAAATGTACAGACACAGACCAAAATTAGTTCGCGCTGCACCCGGTTTGTTGGAATTCACTCCGGGAGGGGCGGCGGAAAATTGGCCAGCCATCGGCGACGGTGAATAAGTGAAAAAAGGTAGTCCATTAGATCACGTCTTGAAACTTGGCATCACCCATTTGCCGCTGTGGAAGGCAATCTATAGGTGGTCTAAATTTCCGGAGCTCGCCTCTTGCGTTGTATTTGACAACTTTTGCGATATCTGGAAGTAAAGCAGCAATGTTTATTGTGGTCAATTCACGGTAACTGCTATTTGTTGCATGATGTCTTTATGTAATCTTTCGTTTCAGGCTACTCGGCATGCACAGACTGAATTCCTAACTGTGACCCCCTGAAGCGTGCCAGCGTCAGGCGAGAGACACGTAGACATGAGAGTGCAATAAAATGCAATAAAGCACGTACCTATAGTATGTTATCCTTTCATGTATGTATGTCTATATGTATATTCTTGAGTGTGGGCTGTACGTCAGTATCACACCAGTACTCTGAACTAGACAGCAGCATGTTCTTGGCAACGAGGTGTGACTTCGTGACTGCTTACAACCGTCTGCACTTCGTTGCATCTGAAGGCCTTCCAATCGAATGAATTCATTCTTTGCTTTGAAGTGAGATTGACTTCGGCGTCGTAATAAGCAACCCGTGGAGTGGTTTGACGAAAATTGTGGGCTAGTTATTGTGGCGAGTGTAATGATGATTGTAGTGGGTCATGCAAATCTCGGCACACACACATTGTCAGTGCTAAGCACGAGACGCTCGGCCCGGACTGTTGCTGTTTTTGATAGCTAGGCCTACGCTCCTACCTGGTCTCGGATAACAGTTTGGACTGTCTCCGTTCTATATTATAATTGGTGGAGTTTGCTGGGTCTCCTTGCAATCCTGGAGTTGCGAAGCCGGACTCTACCTGCTGTCATGACCACTGCATCTGCCACAAGCCCTCCTCCTATGGCTTCCCAGGCCATCGTGTGCTCCGGCGCAATCCGCCAGCGGGATCCTCCCATATTCAGTGGCACTGACGACCACGACGTCGACGACTGGCTGGCTACTTACGAACTCGTGAGTGTCTTGAACAAATGGGACGAAGCCACGAGACGGGCCACTGTCGGCATTTACCTCAGTGGCATTGCCCACTTATGGCTTCGGAACCATGAGACCGACGTTCCCACCTGGACAGCATTCAAAGCAAAGTTCAGCGAAGTCTTTGGTCGTCCTTCTGTCCGCAAACTTCGTGCGGAGCAGCGCCTTCAGTCGAGATCTCAACTGCCTGGTGAGAACTTTACAAGTTACATAGAAGACGTCATCGACTTGTGCAAGCGCGTCGATGTGAACATGACAGAGGTGGACCGCATCAAGCATATTTTTAAGGGTATTGACGAGGACGCTTTCCAGATGCTCATTTCAAAAAGCCCTGCTACTGTCGCCCAAGTTACCGAGCTCTGCCAAAGCTATGATGAGCTCCGCCGGCAACGTCTCGTCACCCGCCGTGCTGTCCCACATCAGGAATCGATGTCCGGCTTAACTCCCTCGCAAGACCCCGTCCTCCTCTCGCAGATCAAGATTTCGTGCGCGAAGAAGTTGCCCGCCAACTCTCGCTCATCTCTGGCCTACCGGAGCGCAGTGCACCGCTTAGCCCTACTCTACGGACTATTATACGAGATCAAGTGTCTGAGGTCCTTCCTCCGCAGCTGGTGCCACCAGTCAATGCACCATTGACGTACGCCGAAGCAGCAGCACGACCACGACCACAGACGTTCCAAGCGCCGCCTCCACAGCCTGCTCCTGTTTATGCCGCCCAGCCACCACGACCTCCACTTCGCCGAGTCCCTAATCCATGGCGCACTGCCGACAACCGACCGATCTGCTTTTCGTGTGGTCTACCTGGGCACGTCGTACGTCTGTGCCGCCGCCGCCCACTCCACTCACGTGAAAACCTACGTCCATACGAGAACGATTACACGTACACTCAATACACCCCAGACCCCAAATTGTACGCTCCTCGTCCAAGCCACCGACCAGCTCCCGATCGCCGATCTCCTTCTCCACGTCGACGCTCGCCCTCCCCGATGCGCCGACGCCCCCCTACAATCGACGCGGAAAACTAAATGACGCAGTTCCCGAGGCAAGAACTGCGTCCTCGTCGCAAAGCACAAGCCCTCTTCGTTCGCCGCCAAATGTAATTAATGCCGTTCTTGAAGGTGTACCCGTACATGCCCTTATTGATACTGGTGCCGCAATTTCTGTCATCGCCGAAAAAGTTTGCCCTTCAATTCGAAAAGTGACAACGCCTTACTTGGGTTCATGTCTTCGTACTGCCACTGCACAGCCTGTGCAGCCTGTGGCCGCGTGTACTGCCAGACTTGTAATTCAAGGAGTGCCCTACACAGTCCAGTTCGTAGTACTCCCGCACTGTTCTCATGACATCATTTTAGGTTGGGATTTTCTCTCCCATCACCAAGCCGTCATTGATTGCGCCCGAGCCGAAGTCGCCTTTTGTCCCCTTGGTGATGCGCTACCAGTGCATGATCGCCCTTCCGACGCGAAGTTGGTCATTAGTGACGACACCCAAATCCCTCCACGCGCTACTGTCTTCGCACCTGTGTCGTGTTCCACCGTCGTCGACGCTACCGCATTCTTCACGCCTTCCGCTGCTTTCGTTCATCGCCACCTATCACCGCTCCCAACCGCTCTCGTTACTCTTCAAGGTGGTGCGACCAACGTGCCTGTGAAGAATCCGTTCCCATTCACGATTACGCTACTTCGAGGCGAATGTATTGGTTCGATAGAATCATTCGAAACCATCGCTACACTTGACGTTCCTGATGAATCATCGGAAGTCAGCGCCCTCTCCTGTAGTTCCGTGAATGACCCTTCCACTACCGACATTTTCAACCGTGTCATCGACGAAGGCCTAAACCCACAACAGAGGTGTGAGCTTTTGAGCCTCCTTGACAAGTTCCGACCATCTTTTGACAGTCACAGCGCTACTTTAGGTCGCACATCTACCGTATGCCACCAGATCGACACAGGTAATCACCCACCACTACGGCAGCGACCATACCGTGTTTCGCCAACTGAACGCCGTATCATCGATGAACAAGTAGGTGACATGCTAAAGCGAGGCGTCGTTCAACTGTCAAACAGTCCTTGGGCGTCGCCGGTTGTTTTAGTTAAAAAGAAGGATGGCAAGATACGCTTTTGCGTAGATTATCGTCGCCTAAACAAAATAACACGAAAGGATGTTTATCCTTTGCCTCGAATTGATGACGCCCTCGACTCTTTACAAGGCGCAGAGTTCTTTTCCTCCCTTGATCTACGCTCTGGGTACTGGCAAGTGCCCATGAATCCGGATGATAGGCCAAAAACTGCATTTGTTACACCAGACGGCTTATACGAATTTAACGTGATGCCATTCGGGCTATGCAATGCGCCGGCAACATTTGAGCGCATGATGGACACTATCCTACGAGGCCTCAAATGGAACACGTGTTTGTGCTACTTAGACGATGTAGAGGTATTCTCACCCGATTTTTCCACGCACCTTCGTCGCTTGGAACAGGTTCTACGCTGCCTCTCTGCAGCCGGCCTCCAACTCAACTCGAAGAAGTGTCACTTTGGAGCGCGCAAGCTGACCATTCTTGGACACGTCGTGTCGAAGAATGGCGTTCTTCCTGACCCCGCTAAGCTACGTGCTGTTCGTGAGTTCCCGAGGCCCGCGTCTCTCAAGCAGCTGCGTAGTTTCATTGGGCTTTGCTCATACTTCCGCCGCTTCGTCCGAGATTTCGCCTCGATCATGGCGCCACTGACAGACCTACTTCAGGGCGACCGCAATCTATCTGCGTGGTCTCCAGCTTGCGACAGTGCCTTTGCGAAGCTCCGTGAACTGCTTACAACACCACCAATACTGCGTCATTTCGATTCAAGCGCTCCCACAGAAATCCACACAGATGCTAGCGGTGTCGGTCTTGGCGCTGTACTCGCCCAACGAAAGCCTGGTTACCAAGAATATGTTGTTGCGTACGCGAGCCGCACTCTTACAAGAACAGAAGCAAATTATTCGGTAACTGAGAAAGAATGCCTAGCGATTATCTGGGCCATTACAAAATTTCGGCCTTATCTGTACGGCCGCCCTTTCGATGTTGTTACCGACCACCATGCGCTCTGCTGGTTATCCTCCCTCAAAGATCCCTCAGGACGCTTGGCACGATGGGCTTTACGGCTCCAAGAGTACGACATCCGCGTCATTTATCGCTCAGGCCAGAAGCACGCCGATGCCGACGCTCTTTCGCGTTCGCCTGTTTCTACTGATATTGCGAGTGTCTCCATCCAAGACAACTTCCTTCCACTATCAGGACCCATCAACATGGCTGCAGAGCAGCGCAAAGATTCGTGGATTGCGTCTCTGATGGATTACCTATCTGAAACACTCGCCCACCCGCCATCTCGAGCGCTACACCGACAAGCCTCTCACTTCGCCATCCGTGATGGAATACTTTATCGCCGCAACTACCACCCTGACGGTCGCAAATGGCTACTCGTCATACCCAGGCATCTCCGCGCCAGCATATGTGCTGCTTTCCATGCCGATCCGCAGTGTGCGCACGCCGGTTTGTTTAAAACCTACGCCAGGCTACGTTTTCGGTTTTATTGGCGCGGCATGTACACATTCGTTCAAAAGTACATTCGATCTTGCACAGAGTGCCAACGCCGCAAGCACGATCCTAGCCGTCCTACTGCACCAATGCAGCCGTTACCGTGCCCAGTGCGACCATTCGACCGGGTTGGAATAGACCTTTATGGTCCTCTACCATATACATCAGCTGGGAATCGCTGGATTATTGTAGCGATCGACCATCTCACGAGATATGCAGAAACGGCCGCTCTACCAGCCGCGACGGCACGTGACGTTGCGTCTTTCCTGCTGCAACGTTTTGTTCTGCGTCACGGCGCTCCACGTGAACTTTTGAGCGACCGAGGCCGCGTCTTTCTCGCGGATGTTATTCGAGAACTTCTTGCAGAATGTCATGTGATTCACCGCTGTACTACCGCATATCGCCCACAAACAAATGGCTTGACAGAGCGTTTCAACCGTACTCTTGGCGACATGCTTTCTATGTATGTCGCCTCCGACCACACCAACTGGGATCTTATCCTTCCTTACGTAACGTACGCTTACAACACGGCACCTCAAGTGACGACAGGCTTTTCTCCATTCTTTTTACTTTATGGTCGAGAACCATCATCTCCAATTGACACCATTCTCCCATACCGACCCGACTCATCCGAAGGCACACCACTTTCCGAAGCCGCGCGGTATGCGGAAGAATGTCGGCAATTAGCTCGCACCCTTACAACACAAGAACAAGGGCTACAGAAATTTCGTCACGACGATGGACGGTCCAACTACCAATTTTCGCCC